AAACTATATATAGTTGCCCTAGGAAAATTTTGAACTTTTAGAATCTCTAGGTGGATGGCTTTGTTAAAAGAGCTCAACTATATATAATGCATATATGTCCACTAAAAGTTATTTGAAAAACAGTAAATAGAATCCAAATTAGATCACATCTCAATAATTAAACCCTAAACCTCAATGCTTAAACTTCAAACACTACACTTTGGAGTAATATTTCTCAATTATCTACATAAAAAAGGAAGAGTTTAATTCATTTAAACCGAAATCATATACTAATTCTGTTTTCAACTTAATTAACAACTTAAATATTTAAGTGAAATAGTCACATACTTTGATATTGTAACAAAACAAATAAAAGATTCTAGATTCAAATCTCACCATCACCCCCACAAAACACACACATCTTCTTTTACGCCTTAATTAATTAAAAATAAATCAGGTCCACGTGTAAGTATGCATATAGTAATTAACTAATTACAAGTGTTTTTTTATAACTTTAACTTTCAGATTAGATAGTCATACACTTTAACAATTATCATTATCTAATGTACTTCGGGCCATAATAAGTAAATTTAGTAACCTAAAAAAACATAAATGAGACATGTAATGTATTATAACAAGTCAAACTACATTGAAAGGGCAAAACTTTCTTATACTGATCAATATATATAAGTTAAATTCAAAAATTGGAAAAGGACAAAAACAACAACAATATAATTTTCTTTATGAAGGATAAGAAGAGAGTAATTGAGGAGGCAGACAAGAAGAATCTCTCCAAACCCTAGAATGTAACCTTAGAATTTCTTTTGCTTTTTCCTTGGTCTTTGAACAACTATCCACTTGAATCACCAAACACAACTTTGACACCACTCCCACTTGCAACATCTCTTGAAGAACCTTACAAGTTGCTGAAAATTTTGAAATGGAACAAAGTATCCTCACTCCTCTATCACTTGCTACTTGTGAAACCCTAAGTACTTTCTTGGAAATAATGGCTATTCCTGCCCCATGGTTCAATAACTCAGCCCGGCCCTCGGCGCAACTACAAAGTTGGTGTAAAATTGTAAGGATTAATTCACAAGATCTTCTTTCTATTGTATCAATAAGAAGCTCAATTAGGGTTGATATAGCTCCAACTTCAATTGCTTTGATTCTATTTCTACCCCATGGACAAAGTTCCACTAGTAATTTAAGTGAAGCCTTTGTAGCTTGTTGTGAGATTAGTTTGTTATTCAAAAATAACAATATTTCTTTAAAATATTCTTGTTTTGCACCAATTAATTGGCATGGATCAGCCACATTGAATGCTGATTTTAATAGCATTATTGCATAGTCTCGAGATTGGTAATTCCCACATTTCAAGAAATACAATAAAGAATCTAAGAAAAGTTCGTCTCCATTGTCTTTGGAGATGAGCTTTTTTAGGGTTTCATCGGAGGGATTAAGATGGAAAAGAATATCCAAAGCTTCATCACTTGTCTTAGTAGTGAAGTACTCGAGTACAAGTGGTGTCTGACTATTATCACAACTCAACTTGTATGATTCGGAATCTTTTGGTGAAACAATGTCAGATGGCACGACTTTTTGTAAAAGGGTGTCTCTGCCACTGATCCTGAACTCTGAATCTTGAATAAAAGTCATTTCTTGCTTCATTATAATTGAAGCTAAGAAATCTACAACCTCACATGATTCTAAACATTTCTTGTTGCTCTCACTTGCATGAACAATAGATTTAAGTTTCCTCAAGCAAGAAAGTTGCATTTCTTGGGATTGCATGGCTTGTTTAAGGAGTTTTAAAACATATGATTTTGTTACTTGAGACTTTGGAGTAGGAATCCTTTCAACACCATGGGAAGAATTCATGATGCACCAAGATTGGATCACACGACGGAGAGTGTGGTTTGGGGTGAGATCCATGGTCAACAACTCTTGTTTGGTTATGGGACAAGTTGTGTTCTTGCACTTGAATAGCCATTTCTCTATGTTCTCCCTATCATAGGTTATTCCGGTTGATGTTGTAACCGGATCCCTCATTAGTTGCATTGATATTGGACAAAGGAAATAATCTGGAACTTCAACATCTTCCATATTAGTTGGTCGTGATCCCTCCACCCCTGATCAAATATTTCAGATTCGAGCCTGAGAATAAAGAATTTTTTTGCTCCTTGGTGGATTTATTCAAGATGAATATGAATTGATCGGATGGTTAAACAAAAAAGTTCATATTTGAAGAAGCAAAGAGATATATAGATCTCTTGAAGGAGTAATGGACCAAGTTTGTGAAGGGAAGGGGAAAAGGAAGTAGTGTATTGTGATGGGAATTAGTGATGATTTGTGTGGAGAAAAGAGGAAAATAGATACTTGTAACAAACCACAACTTTTTGGGAATCTATCTGACACGAATCTTATTAGTTAGGTCAACAAACTTCTGATATCGAAATGTTTAACCTAAAGAATGATATACCCTAAGAGGAAGGGAAAAGAAAGTAATGTTTTGATGAATATAAAGAGAAACTTTTCAAGAGATTGAAGATATTGAAAGGTTGGAAATGGATTGTATGGAAAAAAGAGGAAAATTAGTTCATATATATACTATTTGTGAAGAGAAGTAATTAATGCATACAAATTGATAAAAGGAAAGAAAGTCAACACAAGAAAATTCAGAAGAGAGAGAAAGTGAATCATGACAAGAAGTAAGGGGCTCTTAATGTACTTTTTCCAAGATTTTGGAAAAAATAAATGAATATAATAATTTGTAGTATTATTTTAAAGAAAATTACGAATTACTAAAAGGGAACAAAAAAGTGTTCATATTCTATGGACGTACATATAGACTTGTATACAAATAATTAAATAAATAAACACCTTTGCGTACTTAATTTTAACCTAGTAGATTTAAGTGAATCATAAGATTGATCAGGGCGGAGAGAGAGTATTAGCTACCATTTCGGATTATCTAATTACTATAATATTTATTAAAACGTAAAATTACATTTTGTTTAAAGAAAATTAAATTTTTAAAAATATCTTTAAATTCACAATATATTAACTCTAAATAACGGAACTCAAGTAAATGCATGAAAATTCATCATCCCTAAAATTAGGAGTGACAAACGGGACGGTTGTGGAACAAATTCACATAAACCTACAAAGCTTTCAACCCGTCTTCCTTTGCCCACCTCTGATTTAAAAAAAATATTATTTGAATCCGCTCCGTTCAGCCACATTGGACAATTGTGGAGCAAATCCACATAAATCTGCAAAATTTTGAACCCGCCTTCCTCCACCCTGCATCCTGGAGAAGAGCCACCTTGTGGTCAGGGGATTCATTTGAACCTCATTCGACGTTGAAAAATTATATTATTTATATATGATTAAAATATTTTTTTATGTATATATAGTAGATATCGAATCTCTTTTCACTTATTTATGTGTTTACTTCTCTAGATTTTGAACATCCTTAATGAAAATTCTGATTCCACCACAGCCTGCATCAAATTTTGAAAAAAATAATATTATTTGAACTCGCCTCGTTCTGCCCCATTGCCAAATCTACCTAAAACTTCATTAAAATCCTCAAACAATAATATTCAAAATCTTGTTTCCTATTTTGTAATTTCTCTTGGATAAGATAGGATAGAAAAGAAAATTGTAGAAAAATACGAAGAGACCGACTTATTGGATGGGATGAATTAAATGTGTATGTGTGAGACACATTGGGGAAAGACTTTGGTGTTGGTTTGTGTGTTCATGGTTGAAGTGTTTCTTTATTGACCTTTTGAATTGATCTATTGCTTCGGAAAAAGGGGGGGGGGGAGGGGGGTAGCATTTTTTAATTTTTTATTAACTGTGAAGGTATTTAATTGGTTATAAAAGCAAGCTCAAAATAATATAATTATAAAGAGAAGAAGGCAAGAAATGTAGATAGAAGAGAACTTTTCTTCTTATTCAAGTGTATCTTATATGGAGAATAATATCTCTATTTATATGTAGAGAAATCACTTCAAAGGCCACTTTGATGAATGCCAAATTAATAGATACATCATTATCTCAAAAGGGTTCATATCACCATAGGCGTATCCAGGATCTCAAGAACACGGGGGCATCATTATCTTCAAAATAGACAATTAATTCAATTATATAAATTTACGGTGAGAACAAGTTGACGAGCAAGTAGCAATCTTTATATAGTAATATATTAGCAAAAAACATCATTCACTTACAATTGTAACGAGTTTTCATATTTTGAAAACGGTCAATAATGGTATCATTACTTACATTTTTAAATATACTACACTCTATATAGCAAACTAAACAACCATTCAAAAGATCTTCATCCATCCTATTACGCAAATCATTCTTTATGTACTTCATTGATGAGAATGTTATTTCCACGCTTGCGATAGCAACATGAATAATCAAAGTTAGCTTCACAAGTAGATACACAAGTGACCAAGTTTGATCTTGTTTTGTCTCTATCATCACACTTGCAAGATCCTTGATTCCCTTCAAGTTGAGAAACTTGCTATCACACTTTTGAGCATAGACAATAAAATCATCGAATTGAAAATTGAGTTCCCGAAGCTCTTTATCACCAAACTCACTTGGATAGTACTCGGCTAGTTTCATTATCCTATCCTTGTGAAAAATAACAAATGAATCAACCGGACTCAAACTAGCCATACCGAGGAGTAAGTCACTAGTCACCACATCAAAACAATTATTCAGTTCTTGAAGTGCCAAATCAATGAAGGCATAAAATACTTCCACACGAAAGTGATGCAAATATGAAATATTGGACCTCTTACGCTTCAACTTCCCATTAGAGTAGTTTTCATTCATTTTGGGAATTGAAACACCATGTTTACCACAAAATAAGCTAACCTCATCCATCATAGAGTCTCATTGATCCTCTCTCATCATTTGCAATCGTTTCTTTGAAAGGCCAAGCAATCCCACAGCATTACGATATTTGATCTTTCTTTTGTAAAACTTTATTCAACTCATTCGTCAATGGCAACACCTTAAACATCAAGTGCAACATAAAAACAAATTCAAATTCATGAATCTTGCTCAATAGATAATTTTTTGCCGCAAATCTATCAAGATGATATGGACAATCACGTTTCATATCCTTAAGCACATTAACAATTGAAGAAAAAAGAATCAGGAAATTTTCCAAGGTTTTAAAATGAGACCCCCAACGAGCATCACCCGGTCGTTGGAGGCCACGTTCTTGATTCAAACCTTGCCATGTATGAACTTCTCCAAATTTAAGCAACTCTTCCAACTTATCTTCTAGATGTTGTCGAAGTGAATCTCTGCATTTAAATGAAGCTCCAATAGTATTCAAAATATTAGTGAGAACATAAAAAAAATTATCCACATCCAAATTCTTTTTGAAAAGACCAACAAGTGCCAATTGCAATTGGTGAGCAAAACAGTGAATTGAATATGCAGATGACGTATCTTGTAAAATCAAAGACTTGAGACCATTTATTTCCCCTTGCATATTACTAGCCCCATCATAAACCTTGACCACGTATTTTGGATGTACATAATGAGTGATCCAAAAACAAGAATAAATTGCTTTTTTTTAATGATTTGAGAAGATGTATCATTTACGTGGACAATACCCAAGAATCGCTCTATCACCATTCCACTTTTGTTGACATATCTCAAAATTAGAGCTATTTGTTCCTTATGAGAGACATCCTTTGATTGATCAACTAATATTCCAAAATAATCACCGTCCAATTCTTTAATGATAGCCTTAGTTGTTTCTTTAGCACAAGCCTCCACAATATCTTTTTGAATTGTCGGACAAATCATCATATCATTTTGTGGAGCATTACCTAATATTACTCTTCCCACATCAAAACTTCTATCCCCATACCATTTCAAAAGTTCAAGAAAAGCATCCTTATATTCAGAACCTTCACTTTCATCATGTCCACAAAATGAAAATCCCGATATCAAGAGAAATCTTGCTACATCAATTGAGGAATTTAAACGCATTCGATAATCACTTCTTGCCTTTTTCACTTTGCTTGTCAAAAGAAGATTGGATCGATTGCCGTTGGTTTATCAAATCTTGCATCCTATTAAAACATTTATGATGGATACTATTTACCTTACCAACATGTTTTTTGAATCTTTCAAAAGTTTTGTTCCAACACCTAAAATCATCTCTTGTAAATGAATCTCCAGACCACAAATCTACAAGTTATGCACCCCCTATTTGTACATACTTATCAATATACTAGAGTATTCTTTTTAACCTTGGCTTCACCAATACAAATTTAAAAAGACAATTAGAAAAATAGTAGTATTATATAGGGGTTAGGAAGGGGAGGATGTGAACCCACTCCCCTTCATGTACATACGCCTCTGCATATCACCTTGGGAATACACATTCATGATAAGGATAAGTTCATGAATAAACTTAATGGACAATCCACTTAGTGTAATGGATTTATAACACTCCCCATTGGATGTCCATAGATAATGTGCCTCATTAAAACTTTACTAGGAAAAAATTCTATGGAAAAAAAATTCTAGTGAAGGAAAAAGAGTACACATATCTTTTGATACACATTGTTTGTTGCCTCATTAAAAACTTTGCCAGAAAAATCCAGTGGGACAAGAAAAAAAAAGTGCAACGCGTATAATACTCACCCTGATTAAAACATCACTTAATTTCTTGTGATGATGTCATTCAATCTTATATACCAATTACTTGTCAAATATTGTCAGTGTCTTTGTGATCAAAGCACATTCACGAAGATGTTGCATGATTGAACTCATCCAGATATATCATTTTCTGGTTTCATGGATATGATGAGGCTTTGTGCTTAGCCGAATACATTCTTGAAAATCACTCTATTCGTGACCTTGTTGTTGCAAGTAAATTGCTCAGTCAACTTGTTCATAGCAACAATCATCTTGTGGACACTTTCATTTGCAGTTGATTATCTTGTAGAATAACTTCAAATAAATGTCTTTGATGTCATTTCAATGTCTTTTCGTCGAGGAGGAGCAGAATCTTGCCAGTAAATTTACTGCAAAATAGATATCTAGTCGAGTATTGTTAGCAAGATACATTAGTGCCCTGATTGCACTAAGATATGGAGTTTCATCTCCAAGAAGCTCTTCATCATTCTTTTGAGATCAAAGTGAATCTTTATTTATGTCAAGTGATCTCATAGTCATTGGGGTACTCAATGAATGTGATTTATTCATATAAAATCGCATCAAATTTTTTTGTGTATGTTGATTGATGGACAAATATTTCATTCGTCAAATCCTCAATCTGTAGGTCAAGACAATATTTTATCTTTCCAGGATCTTTTCATTTTAGATTCCCTTCTCAAACACTCAATAGCTTTTGAAAGCTCTTTAAGAGTGTTAATAATATTCAAGTCATCAACATACACAACTATTACAACAAATTCAGATCCTGACCTTTTCATAAAAATTCAAGGACAATTAGGATCATTCTTTTTGTACCCTTTTCTTCCTTGATTATTTCAATTCATATAAGAATTCTTGAAGCTTTTTTGAAAAAGTTCCTTTCAAACTTTTATATGTTTCAGACACCTTGATTGCTTCAAGGATTTTCATATAACCTTTAGTATTGTCTAGCTAGACATGACAATTATTCATTATATGCATTCAAGTTTTCACATATTGCCAGATCAAACAAATCTCATTGCATCCACCATAGGAGAAAACATCTCCAATAATGTTAGGCTTTTTGCGACAAATCTTTATGCCCCAAGGCACCAGCCATACTTAATATCTTACGGTTATACCATCGCATAATAATTTATTTGTACCCCACTGACATTATACCTTGATTTATGGACTATCAATCTAAAACATCACTTTTCTAAGTGAAGCAAAATATACTTGAATTATGCATTATACTTGGCCAATCATTTATCTGTCCACACTATATGACAGATTTGAATTCAAAATCCTTGTCACAATTTATATCTTTGAGCGCTACTTCATATCAAAGATACCGTCGACAGTTATTTGATATCGATTCCAATATGACATAACTTATTGAGATCTCTTCATTTTTCATCATTTTTCAAGTACCTGAACCTTTTCCAAGATTTTATGAAGTATTATGTCGTGGTGCTCTTTTATAGCACTTGCCTCATTATCATGACCATATTGATCATTTGCTACTCTCCTTCTTCAAGGAATTTTACATTTGGAACCAATTGGTCTATTACGCTTCAGGCGTATCATAGACTCTGTCCTTCAAGGATTTCTCATTGGAGCATTTGCAGCTGAATTGTAACATAGGGTCAGTAAATTCATCTTGCAATAGATTTGCAACATTATGCAAATGAATTATCACTTGAACTTCAAGTTCACATTTTCTTTTAACAAGGATCTAGATAATTCATAATTAATCTCACACATAATTTCCAGCTTTCAGTTATCTCTCCCCCTAATGTTAGAAATTAAAATCTAACATTCATCCCAATCTTACTTGGGAATTCATCTTTGTGCGTGGTGGAGCAATTAAATCATAACCGCACATTCAACATTTTAGATGAAATTTTTTTGGTTCCTGACCCTGAACCAATTTCGATAGGGGACTTTTGTTGGCTTGATGCATACAAGCGTTGCTACATGTTAAATAAATTCATCTTATACCAAATTTCTTCTTTTTTTTGGGAGATTTGTTCTTATAATTAATGATTTAGCTATAATTGGAGGTATACAATTTCTGCTAAACCAACAAGCATTATTAGTATAATTTCATAGTTTGGAACTATGCTCTTTATTTAACAATTCGAGCAAACAACCTTACAAACACCAATTTGTAAATTGACAACAAAGCACATGTGACCATCGCATAGATGCATCTATCATATAGTTACAAATGGTCCACATGGTAGGTGAATGGGCCCATATTCACCTTTTTATATGATCCAAAAATCTCAGGGAGTACTATCTCAACCTTAGCAGGTACAATGATACAATGATCAAATTATCAGAGAACAAGCAACACAAGAGAATTCTTGAAGAAATTTGATTTATTCAATATATAACTATGTGAATTCTCAATTATTTTTGCATCATATTTTAACAAGAATGGCCAACTGATCTTTATTTCAGTACACTTACAATTTACTTTTGCATGTGATTTCATCAGCATGTCCATGGGTAATCTTTTACATAAATATTTATAACCCGCTTCAGTTGGTATAATCTGAAGATATTAAGTCTTTTCATAATTTATAGTCTCAATATTTTTTTTCAATTTATCTGAAACTTAAAAAGTTTCTTTCGAGACTTACTACAACCCCAATATTATTCCTCTGACAATAACACAACTCGTTAGAGCTTGTAATTAATTTTTGTGTACTATCACATATTTCATGACACCATCCATATGGTGAGCATCTCCTTCAAGGAGAAAATTATATTATTATTGTCATGGTCAAAATTATTACGAGCAAGACATGTTTCTTGCTTTACTTTTGTTATACCATAGGTAAACAACCAATGACAAATTTGTATTGCCACACAATAATATTATTTTGGTCATGACCACAACCTTTATAGGCAAGGATTATTTCTTTCTTTTGCCCTTTCGGTAGTTCACAATAAACATACCATAATATTAATGACGTTTAAACGTACACGACCATTGACCATTCCTGCCAAATAAAATTTATTTGTTTCTCTCAAACCTCCCGTAGAGGTGAGTTGTGACATATTTTCAATCATACATGAATATGTTCTTATTCATATTTTTTCTTCATATCTTGCCACATTCACTTTTAAGAATGGGCAAACATTCACATGCTTATTACAACTCACAACTCTTCATGAGTTGACCATAACCATTTATACATGTCATACCTTTATATTTGACATATTTATTTGACATATTTACATGACTCACCTCAACATCACTTTGAAAAATAAAGTGCACCAGCACTTTATATTTTTTCTTTTGATGGAGGATTTACGAACTTATCAAATTAGGTTGCACGATAACCGTGTGGCCAATCACCTTTCATACCATTTTGATGATAAAATTATTTTCACAGTTTGAAGGACTATTTGAAGAACTCTTACTATTCTACCTTTTATAATTACCACAATGATGACTATTATAATTATGTCCCTCCACGCCCTTATTCATACATTCAATCATTTGTCATCTTTCAGACTTATTATTCACTGCTATCATATTCATACGATAGAATGGAGCAAATCAACTGGCGCGTTTCAAAGTTATCATACATTGCTACCACATTGTTTTCAAGGAATGGAGCAAATTCAATAGGATGAACTTCATGGCTTTTCATCAAAGCCTTAGTCATCATTATATAATCACTATGTTGCATTGACTCAAACTCAATGTCTTACCCATATACGGCGTGTTAGGCCATAATTCTATGGGACTTGTACCCAATCCTTATCATCTGCATCAAAACTCAAATTAATGTCTTACCCTCTTGGTGCGATAGAATATGAATCTACCGTCTTACCCTCAAACATTTTTCATTATGGTACATCCGACTTTAACCTGATGTCTTACCCTTTTGGTGCGATGGAACTTGAATCCACCGTCTTACCCTTAACCAACGGTATAATAGACCGAAGTACAATTGACTCACCCTCTAAGTCTTTCAAAATAATCAAAATAATATTCAAACTCAAGCTACTAAAACTTTATACCTTCTTATTGAGTGCCAACTGCACCCAAGTGGATTTGTTTTTTATCAACTTTTATTGCAGCTTGCCATTTCATATTTTTAAAGTAGACTTAGTTTTCAAAGTGCTTTCTCCTGTGTCGCTTTCTGCTTTTAACTACTGGAAATTGTTGAGTGGTCTGCTCCATCAATTAGGAGCCAGAGGCATGACTACTCGATGATCCAGGAACCACCTTTCTAGCAATTTTCTCATTTGACTCATCGATATCAGTTAATGGCAATGGATGTACACTAAAACTCAAAATCTCAATGGCTAGAGTCTCGTAC